GCTGCAGTTTTGCTGGGTGTGTAAAGTTTTATTTGGTGGAGAAATTGACTGTAAAAAAAAAAAAAGAAGTATGCCTGGAACTGGGAATTTTGAGTCTGGTCAACTAGGTTATCTTCTTCAAAAAGAAATTTGTTTTTGCTTAATATCAGCCTTCCTGCATAAAGGTCACAGGTAGCTGGGGCATGGTGGCAAAGGCCTGTAATCCTACAGCAAGATTCCATCTTAAAAAACAAAACAAACAGGGCCGGCTGGGGATTTAGCTCAGTGGTTTCATTGCCTGCTTCACAAGAGCAAGGACCCAAGATCCCCGGTACCAAACAAACAAAAACCCAAAAAAACCCCACCACCCCCCAGCCCAAAAAAGGTCAAAGGTCAAAGGCGATTTCTGCTGGGCATGGTGGTCCACACTTTGATTCCAGCACTTGAGAAGGTGAGGCAGGAGGATTGCCTTGAGTTCGAGGTCAGCCTGGAAGAACATAGTGAGATTCCTGTCTCAAAAAAAAAAAAAAGCCAAAAAACAAAACGTGATTTCCAATATCATGAACTCTCACTAAATAGGAATCAGCCCTAAACTAAAAGGAGAACAAAAGAACCAAAAAACCCAGGAAGAACTTTGGAGTCATTATTTTAATAGAATCATTAGGTCCAGACTAAGTTCTAAATACCATAAGACTGAACATGCAGGGGAGCTATGTGTAAAAGCAACTACAATATTATTAATTATTAACTTGAGTAGGGAGAAAAGCTCTAGACCCTGTTTAAAAAAAAAAAAAACTACTGGGAGGCCTTTTTTTTTTTTCAAGACTTTAAAGAAAGTCTGCAAAAAAAAAAAAAAGTCTGCATTAAAAAAATAAAAAGAAGGAAAAAAAAAAAGCCCAATAAACAAATGAAGACTGCAGTGTCACAATACTGGCAGAGGAGTTGAAGTAAATGTGGAAATTAAATAAATACCACCATAACAATGACAGGCATCTCAGAAATGGGGAGATCATGTTTCACGTGCACTCAATGGACATTTATAACCAGGGATCTGTCTGGGTCTGGCTACAATTCAGAAGGCAGCAGACTATTAGACACCTGTCATGTGACAAGGGACTTTAAGAGACACAGATTTACAATAATCATGCTTTATATTTTAGTATAGCTTGTCATGTTTTTGGTAAGCATCATCTTATCTGAGTGAGAAACTTTAGGTCCTTCACTTACCTTCTAGACTTTGAACAAAAAGATACTTAATTTCTGACCTTTTGGCTTATTTGCCAATGAAATGGGGTTCTATGTTTTTATTGCCCAGAACTATTTCAGAGGACAAATGTGATGAGATAGAAGGCTTTTGAAATATAAAACGCAATCAGAATGTGTTGTCATTACCAGTACTGACCACTAACAATATTGGGGGCAATGAGACCTTTCCTTTCAAGCTAGGAGGAAATGTTCTGAAAGAGATTATCCCGTCTCTTCAAAGGTCCAAGACCATTTTTTCATAGTGGATAATGTGGGCAAATTCTAAAAATTAGTTTAGTCAGATGGGAAAAATGTTTTTGAAAAAAATTTGATGTTAAAAGACAGGGCAGAATTTTGGTCTCTGAGAAGTATAAATACTACTAAGAGTATTATTAAAGGAAAAATAATAAAAGTCTCTCTTAATTCTCAAATATTGTGGCCTGGTTAGACATATCCTCTCTACTACACCAAACAGCTCAGAAGAGGCATTCTGAATTGGAAAAGGGGCTGTGTTGTGAAAAAAAGAAGATAAAGAAAAAGAAAAAAGTACTTCTGCAAGATGGGATGTAATGCCTCACTGTTGCACTTGGCAGTGTAAATAAATTATCATGCAACTAACTGCGATTCACTGTACAAATACAGTGTCAGAGCAGAATGTCCATTACTACAGATAGCATTTGCTTGCAGATTTTAATAAATATAGCAGATACTAAGAAATTCTGATCTAGTAGAGGCTTTTGATTCTTAAACAAGGGAATCACACCTAATTGAACTTTTAAAAAAAAGTTTAAGCCACCAAAATTATTCAAAGGAGCAAAGAACCATGGGAAGGGAAACTTAGCATTGGATAAGTTTAACTCCTTAGATAGTCTAGAATTTTTATTTTCCTTCTTTCTTTTTAAAGCTCCATGTAGGGCCAGGGATTTAGCTCAGTGATTCTGCTGCCTTCCTTGCAAGCACAAGGTCTTGAGTTCGATCCCTGGTACCAAAACCAAAACCAAAACAACAACAACAAAAAAAGATAAAGCTCCATGTAATGTGGTTAAGATGTCTGGGCAATAAAAACCAAGACTATGCACACATAAACACACATTTTTAAAGCAACAAGTGAGTCGGCATGTCACCAATTAGGAATCATATGGCCATTTATTTGATCTGCATTTTCAGTGCAGGAATGTATGAATGTCATCTTTCATATATTGGAACTAGTAATTTAGTAAAACATTTTACTCTTAGTGTGGGTAAATCCTCCTCTCCCCCTTCCTTGTAACTCAGGCCCAGGTGGGATACCTCTCCTGTCACTTCAGTGAAACGAGGCCAGCCTGCTGAGACACTGTAACCCCCTGCTACAATGTCAGGAAGCAGGTAACACTGGTCATTTTAGTTCAGGCTCGTGCCAGATATTGGCCCAAGGCTTAACAGCCCGTTTGCTGGATAGTGTTGCATCCAGCCATTCTTCATTACCAGTACCCGGGGAGCACAGACTCGACAATGGCAAAGTACCCTGACAAATTTACTTTTCTCAGGATTAATTCTCCCCACCCCCTGACAAATTGAGGAGGCAAGGGAAGCTTTAATATCCCTAAGACCTGACCTAGACGCTGGACATTTTGCTGCAGGGCTGATGGTTGCATAACTCCCTCCTCCCCCTACCCAGCCTGGGAATAGAGAGAGGACAGCAGACCGAAGTCATAGAAACTTTCTAGGAGAGATTAATTTCAGGAGACCCTGGCACGAAAGGGACCCTGCCAACTTGTCAATCATGGGTCAGGTGAGCACCCTCCACTGAAGTCAGTTGCCTGCCTCTTGGCCCCCAATTCACAGCTCTGCACCCCCTCCAGCTAAGCTTGGAATAATGAAATGTGTCTAGTATGGCAAAATCAGTTTTCTGCAGGGAACTGTACACTGTCATCTAAAGTTCTATAGCTTAGATGCAGTTGAGACAAAGGTAAATAAATGGTAATGTCAGTATTTCCTCAGGTAAGCATTCATAAAATGACCATCACATTGAAACTATGATTTGCAGGAGCTGTATCACAATAGCATAGTTCTGATGATAATGTCGTTAATAAAAGCCACCACACATTATAAGACACTTAACAAACAAACATAGCACAGTCTCATAAAATACTTAGCAAACAATGTACCACAGCCTTAGGGACTGTGATCTTGAAATCCCTTGAAAGGTTTTAAGATTGTAGAGCTTCGCTTTTTAAATGTTTATTGAAGCTACAGATTCAGACCACTGTTAATAGGCGCTGTCATTAGCTAAGGCAAAGTGAGTTAGTACCTCAGATTTGAAACCAGAAGTCAAGGGGGAAGGGCTTGGAGAGGGGACTGGAAACTGAGACGTGGGAAAAGGTAGAGGGAGGGACAGGTAAGGGCCTCTCTAAACCACCCTTCTGATTACATATCATCATTTGAACTTTAATCACAGGATCTTAAAAATCTTTTCTTGTATCAAAAGCCAACCGGCAGAAGACCTTACCTGTGAGCCTCTCTGCCCCCAGCTAAAGCTGCTTGAAAAAATTCACATGCAACCATTTACATACTTCAGAAGGCATCGTCATGGCTTTCCATACTTTGTCCACATACTTAACATACACTGAGTATTTTACTTTTAAAATTTTCATTGCATTTCAAACACAAAGACATTCTACTCCCAGTGTACAACTCCCATCTTTTTAAACCAAGCCCCTCCTACTGTGCTCTTCCTAAAAGTATAAATGATTGGCTTACCTCAGGCTCTTCCCTAGTGAGAAAAAAACACAGTTCATATTTTGCGGGCACAGCCACGCCCACCCCCGTGGACGCGGACTGACCGACCGCGGGTGGATGCCCCCGCCCCCACCTCCGTGGGAGGGAGCCGAGCGAGTGCGGAAACCGAAACTGTGCGGGTGACCCCAACGCCCCAGATACCTGTGTGTCTGGTTTTTCAACCGTAAAGGCAGGAGGGTTTGGCGAACGAATGAGAAATGAGGATACGCTTAGCGCAAAGGGAGAAAGAGAGAAAGACATACAGAAAAAGGTTACGGAGGCCCTCAAGAAGCAGCCTCCAACCCGCCGCGGCCCCGCGCTTTCGCGCGGCAGCTGCAGAGCGCCGCGCACGGGGACGCCGCGCACGGGGACGCCGGATACGCCGCGCACCAAAGTTTCCTTCCGCGCCGGGGCGCAAATCAAGAGACAGCCCGTTCCCGAGTACAAGTACACAGTCGGCGGGTAATTCGGGGGTGCCAGGGGTGGGAGACTGGGGAACAGTCGAGCACGTCATGCACAGGCGGACACCAGTACGGACACCTACACACAGCAACAACAAAAGCTGTATGGCACCAAGCAGCCGTGCCAGGCGAGGCGGGGACGCGCCTTCCCCAACGACCGCAGCCCACCACGGCCCCGAACACCGCAGCCGGGGGAGCCCCAGGGCCCTTCCCCGGCAGTTCCTGGCTCACCTGAAGGCCCCGCCTGTCGCCTGTCCAGCTTACGGTCGCTGGCGCTGGCGCCGGCGCTGGCCTGTCCAGCCGGAAACGACCCTCAGTGTCGCTCGGCATCACTTTTCTCCCTAGAGGGTACATACTTCGGCCACCCGGACCCACACAAACACCCTCCCGCTCCCAGGGCAGAGTCGCGGTCCCTCCCTGGAACTTCCAGCAGACCCTTCCCGCCTTTGCCCGGATCCCTCCGCCCGCTCTCGAGCCCCGGTCCCCACCGGGCAGACCTGCCGCCCCCTCCCCAGGAACCCGGCGGCCTAGCGCCTTCGGGCAGAGTCCCCACCATACCTAGAAGGAAGAGGCGGTGCGTGCACACAAAGCCCATCTTCTCGTCCTCGAGTTGCTTGTCGATGAGCTTGCTGCGCTTCTTCGCGGCGCGCTTCTGGACGCGCATCTCAATGGCTTCTTTGCACATCTGCCTGCGCTTGTCGCCCAGAGAGTCCTTCTTGACCTTGGAGAGGTTCGCGGCTCTGGAGCCCCTGCCTCTACGGAAGCAGCGCGACAAAGCCCGGGAGAGAAAGTTGCGGAGTAAGCTGTGCCGAACCTTTCGGTGGCGGTTTCGGCGCAGGCAGCAGTGGAAGCATCCGGTGGTCCGGGCATCGGACTCGTCGCTGGAAGAGTCGTCGCAAACCTGACCCTCATCTGCGTACCGGAGATGGCCGCTGCCGCACTCGGATTTGGCCCGCCAGGCAGTCGCCCGAGCAGGCTCCGGAGTAGGCGGGTCAGCAGCCTGGATCTCGGGGCTGGGGGGTCTGAGGAGATGGAGCTTGCGGCTGGCCCCAGAGGCAGGGGCGAAGGAGGCGGGCCCGGCATTGGGCGCCGCCCGGGCGATGGGTGCCCCGCGGGCGATGGGCGCTCCACGGGCAGCGAGCGCTGCTGAGACGGATCCGAGAGCAGGACCGGCTCGGGCGGCAGGGGCTCCCAGTGCGGCCGCTCCGGCCGGGGCTCGCCGGACTTCAGGATCGGCTGGGGCGGCGCGGGCTGCCCTGGGGCCGGGATTGGCTGGTGCAGCAGCGAGGGCCCGGGCGGCGGCCGGCTGGGCCTGGGGGACAGGGGTTCCCCCAGAGTCGGGATCGGCCCGGGCTGTCCCGGCGGCGTCAGGGTCCTTTGGCGTGGCTGGGGCTTCCCGGGAGCCGGAATCGTCTGCGGCGGCAGCGAGGTCCCGGGCGGCGGCCGGCTCGGCCCGGGCGGCAGGGGCTCCCCCGGAGTCGGGATCAGCCGGGGTGGCAGGCTCGCTTGGCGCGGCAGCGGCTGCCCCGGAGTCGGGCTCTGCTGGCGCGGCAGCGGCTGCCCTGGCGGCAGCGCCTCCGTCCCCCGGAGAGGGGACTTTCCCCCCTTCCGCAGTGGCGCCAGGGGAGCCTCCTTCCATCGCGGCTGCGTCTCTCCCGACTGGGGGTCCCTCTGGGGGCTCTCTCTTATCTGGGGCTCCCGAGACTTCGATGGGCGGGCCGTGTCTCGCGATTGGGGGGATGTCCGCATTGACGGGAGTGTCGTCGACCCCAGTGGGAGATCTACCAATCTTGATTGGGGGTCCGGAGATCTGCATCGGGGGGCCGTCGCCCGGGAAGTTGAGAGGAGATCTGACAGCCTCTCGGGAGGGGCTTCCGCCGGCGCCTCCGACCCGCAGGGCAGGCGCGTTTGCGGCGGGAGCGAGCCAGACCGAACTCGGGACTGCGACAGCCGCGAAAAGCCGACCACCACCGACTTGCGGGATAACTCGGGGCAAGCCGGGGCGTGGGCTGCTGTCCCCAAATGCTTCTCCTTCAAGTTCAAATGGCACAGCCTCCTCAGGGAGAGGGCTATATCCTCCTCTGAAGCCAGCATTTTTGGGACTGAGGGATCGAGGCTCGTCGGGAGGGTCTCGGGGGACCACTGCACATGGACCGCCTGGAGCAAGGTCTGGGATCTGCAAGACAGGTTGGCCACAGCCTCCCTGCGCAGGCTGGTCCAACTCAAATGGCACAGCTTCTTCTGGTGCGGGGCTGTAGTTTCCACAGACTCGATCTTCCTCGGCTGCCTGGACGCCGGGGCCGGAGACCTCTGGGAGTCCGCAGGCCTCTCCTTCGACCTCGACCGGGACGGGCTCATGGGAAGGCGGTTGGGCCTCCATCTCTTCGGCTGGGCCAGGCCCAGCACCGGGGGCAGCTTCCCCTGGGGCCTCCACAGGGTGCTGTTCGGGCTGTTCCCCGATCTGGGCGGGGATATTGCATTGTCCTGGCATATTACTGCCGTGGAGGCAGTTGCGCATGCCCATAACACGGTGGCGGCCTCTTAAAATAAACTGGGGCTCCGCAAGACGGAGCGCCCAACCAAACTAGGGTGGAAAAATTATTTCCAAAAAATATCCAAGTACCAGCTGGCAAGTTTTCCAGCCTCAGTCTCCAATCCTTGCGAGGCTGGAGTGGGACCCCAAACCGTGGCAGAGGCCGCTCACTTCTCGAGTGGAGTCTCGGCTCTTCCGGGTCACCTTGCGCATCCTTAAGGGTGCTCTCCGGCCAGTCACACCTGGCTTCCTCTTCTCTTTCTCTCTCCGTTCCAGGTCCGCTCCACCTGCCTGGGTCTGAGGAGCGTGCAGATTCGGCCCGAAAATCGCCAGCAGCGCTTTCTCTCTGCCACCAGAGGACGCAGGTTCCAGGGCCGAGCTGTCTCCGGCTCCGGCTCCGGGCGCCAGCAGCCCCGGACTTTGGGTAAGGGGGCTGATGAGCGCGAGCCTCTCAGGGACACTTCCACTCTTCCTCTCTGCTCCCCGACTGGTTTGCAGCCTTTATCCTCGCTTCTCCCCGGTCAAAGCGAAAGCTCTCCTGCGTTGTGGGACACGTGATGCAAGACGTGGCCCTCTGGACGTTGGAGCCTGGGAGCTGAAATCCTCCCTCCCCAGCTGATTCTCCGAAGGGGGGGGGAGGGGGGACTGCAGGAAGGTTTTATCACCCTAAGAATATTCTTGCGCCCCTTGGCCAAACCCCCAGCCCCAGACAGCCCCCGATCGTGAGCCCCAAGTCCAGAAAATGAGACTTTAAATGCCTGGGAAGGAGGCATAGGCGCAAGGGTGCTGGGATGCAACAGGTGGTAGTGAGCCCACCGGAGGGGTAGAGGAGGGGCGAGGGGCGAGGGGCGAGGGGCTGGGAAGTGCGAGCACAGGATTTGTTTTTTAAATGCTCTGGGGGTACTTTCTGCCGCTGGTGGTCTGTCGTTTGCGGAGGTGGGCTCCAATAGAGCACTTCAATGTCCCTCAAGCCCCATCATGCTTGGGGGACTCAGCAGTGGCGCAGGACGGCGCAGGCAGGGCTCTCCCTTGTTTATGTGGATAGTGACGCAGGAAAATAAAGAGGGTCTCGCGCGCGCGCACTACGGAGAAGTAAAGTCCCCAGGCGGTTGCCACGGAAGCATCCACGGGGGAGGCGCGCGGCGGGGGGGGGGACCCTATGGAGCACAGACTTCAGATTTCTGCATTTTGGCGAAGAGTTAAAGGATATTTTGGTTGGTTTTCACGGTGGATTTAGGATGGTTTTAAAGACTGCACACTTAACCCAAAGAGAAACCGTGCTGCGCTAGCAGCAGCAGCCGAGGTCCGCGGCTTCCAGCATCGGGCGTCAGCTACAGGGTCTGTGATCTGGCCCGTCGCTTAGCCCCCCACCAGCACCTCTCCTCTGGCTATGGTCCTAAGGCGCCTTACTTTTCCACTGCTACCATCCGCCACAGCAGCGGGAATGGTGGCCGTAAACCCAGCGCTCGCCCGCCTGGCCAAGCACCCTTGCAGTGCCGCGGTGGGCTCATAGACCATAGGTGGTAAATAGCTTGGACGGCCCGGGGGTTCATTGTGCGTGTGCACTGCTCTGGGTTTGGGGTCTTCGGAGGGATTTGAGCTTGGGGGGTGGGGTGGAGAAACAACTGCGTGCTTGCAGTTTAAAACCCGGCACGCACACATTGAGATCAGTCTCGCCAGCAGGTGACAGGGACTCGTGAGACAGGTTTAGTTTCAGAGCAGCTGGGCTGGGGACAAGTAGTGACCCGGCCTGTGGGACCGGGGAAGGATGGCCCAAGCACTGGTGTTACAATTGGTGGGCTGTGCCAAGAAGAGCGCACTGCGTGGATTGCTGTATACAATCCAGCGATCCACTGGGGCGTACGAGGCACGCTCCGATCTTGTTACATCCAACGGATCCCTCTTTGTTTTTTTTGTTTTGTTTTTGTTTTTTTGGTACCGGGAATCGAACTCGGGTCCTTGCCATTGCGAGGCAGGCGACGGAACCACTGAGCTAAATCCCCTGCCCATGCATCCCTCTTTGAACCAGGGTACCACAGCCATGGCGCGATATCGTCCCCCAGCATCCACCACCCACGTGGCCGCGCAGCGCAGAGAAAAAGCTAACCAAGTCGGTCCCTTGGCAACGGATGGGGCGTCCCAAAGACTTTTCGCCTCAGTTCTAAGGTTTTACACACTTTCTCATTACAACACTAAACTTTCGTTCAAAGTTTGGCCAACTACCCCCACAAGAAACGGCTTAACAATTTGAGCATCCACAGAGTGGGCCGACTGGGGCCAAACACACGACTCATTCCCCTCCGACCCCATTGGCAGGTGAACCATTGGGCTCGGGTCACGCCAATCAAGGTTGCCTAGCGAATAAGCAGGGGGCGTCGGACCGGAAACCGGATATGGGGAGGAGGTCCAACAGGGGGCGCCGCGTTGGAACGCCCAAAGGGGTTGGGGGTTCGGGTGCGGTGGGCGAGCAAGCGAGTGTATGGCGGCCAGGCCCAGAAGGCCACGAGGACCGCTGGCGCCGAGGCGTCAGTCTTTCAGACTCCAAAAGTAGCAAAGGCCGAGCGAGGAGGTTAGGGGCTCCCAAAGGCCAGCCCTTGGGGCTGTTGATGGCCAGGCTAACCCGACAGGAGGCGCCGCTGCCACCGAGGTGAGATGAGAAAGATTTTCAGGGCCGGGAGGTAGGGGCCCGGACCTTGGGGAGAGGGCTTACTGCTCATTTGCAGAGGATCGGTCCAGGATGGCTAAGGAGTTGAGGCCCCAAGGATGTTGAACCCCCCACATGTGGTAGGTCAGTAGACACCGGTGTTGAGGCCCCAGGGAACTGTGATGGGGGTCTGCAGCGACTGTTTTCTTTCACCAGGCTTCGCATTCATCCTGAGTACCCTGAGTACCTGAGAAATGGGTTCAAGGTCTTTGTTCGACATTCTTATGAGCCCGAGGGACCCTTTTGTTTCGTGTTCTTGTAATCAGTAGCTCTTTGTGAGGGGAGCACATGCATTAAAGGGATAAAGGTTGGGCTCCCTCATCCTAAGGGGCAGAGCAGCATAAAAATAAAAGCCACGACCTCCAATTGGAGGGACTTGGAAAGTCTTGATGAAGAAATTTGGCATTTCTATGGCTCTCCATGGAAGGATAGACATCTTAGCTATGAAAAGAGGGGTTGGGCATTTGCCTGTCGGGGGGAGGGGAGAAGGGATCTAATGGTAAGAAACCTGGGGCATGGGTAAACAGGACAGTCCACCTTTGCTCTTGGGGTAGCAGTAAGAGAGAATGTAGGAAAAATTAGATAAGGTCTTAGAAAGATACCCTGGAGCATCCAAGCAAGACCTTTGAGGCTCCTTTGGCTGAAAATGAGGATGATGATGAAAGTTTTGTCCTGCAAGTGGAGATTTCAGCCATGTTTTATGGAAAGGTAGATACAATGAGGGAGGATAGTGCCAATTAATAGAACAAAAGGGATTATACACAAAGGCGGAGCCTGCCTATGTCCTTTAAGAGAAAGACCCAGACAAATTGAAAGGCTCCAAAAGGCTGAGAAAGGGACTTAAGAGGTGTCCCAAAGGCCCCTCTGACCTTGCTTGTATTGGGGGGACACAAAAGGAGGAGGAGCCAAAGACTGGATTTTGAGACACTGGTGGAAGGACAGCAAAGTCAGGAGGAGGAGCTAGGGAGGGGACAGTGAGGTGATAAGGCCAGCTTGATTTGAGACATGGCAGAATTGCAGGAAAGATGAGCATTGATGGAGATTTTTACTTGGGAGGAAGGGTCTAAAGTTTAGAAGAAAGGTATGGAGCACAAATTCAAATTGGCAGTCAATCTCCTTAAGATGTGAGATCACTAGATCAGATAAAAACTCTACAGAGAAAAAGTAAGTTTGGTGACAGAAGAACAGTTGCAGCACTGGGCGAGTAAAAAGGAAAATGTCCAGGAGTGTGGGGAGGCCCCAGAAGAGAGGTGGGAGCCAGACCCAATAGGCATACCCCGCTTAGATTTTGCAGCCTCTGCACTGGTGACATTTGAGTCTGGGTATTTCTTTGCTATGCTGACTGTCCTGAGCACTGCAGGATGTTGAGCAGTATCCCTAGTCTCTACCCACTAGATGCCAGTAGCACCCCCTTAGTTGTAATAACAAAAAATGTCAGCAGACTTTGCCATATATCCTCTAGGGTGCTAGACCACCCCTGGTAGAAAATTACCATGACAGGCTGAGAAAAGGCCCTTATATTTAATTAGTAATGACCTGAATTTAAAGGTAAAGTAGTGCCATGATGAGTATATTTCAATGTTTAATCCTGATGTTCCTCTCTTTTTTTCCACTTTTATTTTTCTGTAGTGACTGGCTACCAGATTCTGAAACCCTAAGTGCCTTGGATGAGTGGGGCTTAAGAGACCACAGAACTGGGTCAAGGATTAAGCTCAGTGGCACCACACCTGCCTTGCAAGCTCAAGGTCCTGGGTTTGATCCCTGGTACCAAAAAAAAAAAAAAAAAATTAGAGGCCACAGAACTACAGCCAGACATTTGAGGAAGCAGCAAATACAAAAGACAGCTGAGTGGCCTGGCCAAAGACAGCTGAGAGATTTGGTGTGGTGAGAGCCGAGGATGAGCACCATGTGGATGGACTGGAGGATCATCTTGGTCAGCCAGATCATCAGGTGAGCATGCATGCTGAGGAGCAGTGATCTTGATGCCACAGATAGAAACATGCATTGGCCTGGATGGAGAAGGCCAGTGCTGGGTATTGGTCGACAGTGCGGGTATAGCCCCACTAGGGGTTTGGTTTTTAGGATCAGCCGTTGTACAATAGCAAAGAAATTTAAATATAGATAGCAATTCAATACTGTTTTAATTTACATCAGGGGAGGGGTAAATGTTACAGGAGCCTAAGTGGGCATGAGGAGGTTAAGTCAGCTAGCGGGTTCATGCAGCTAAAGAAGAGGACGTCAAGATAGGCCAGTACCCAAAAACGGCTTACTAGTGATGAGGCACAAAACCTGTGTGCAGGGTCTCCACCCTGTCCCAGTGGGGAATGTGCTAGTCTTTGAAGGGCCTCTGGGAGATGATGTGTCATTTAGAGGAGGGCAGGATTTGCTGTTAAAGCCCTGGTGATTTCTTGAAGATGGTATATGTGAGGCTACTTAAAAATAGTAGATTTGGGGGCCAAAGATGTAGCTCAGTGGCGCTGTGCCTGCCTGGCGAGCATAAGGTCCTGAGCTCCATCCTGGGTTCCAAAAAAACAAAAAAAAAAGTAGATTTTTTTTTTTTTACATTTGATGAATTTAAAAGGAATGGAAAATGCTACAGATTTCCATTAAACTCTGCATTTCTGAGGAAAGTCAGCCTGCTCTGTCCAAGTGGCCTGCCCAAGTAGCAGGTAGCAGATTGGTGGCTTTTCATAAGTACCCCCAAATGGAAAGAATGCATTTCTTCACTATTGACTCTTCCTCAGGGCATGGCTTTCTTCCTTGTGGTGGGGCCCTGGGTTTCCTAAACTTACTCTCATGGGTCTTTTGAAAACCACAAAAGTATACATTATAAACAACAACTGACTGTGTTCATGCTTGCATTTGGGATTCTTATTCCCAAAAGCATAAGGCACATCCACATTTTATGTAGGTGCCTGTTGGTTTTCCCAGTTCATCCCTGTAGCCAAGAAAGAGGAAGCAAAATAGAAGAGGGTGTCTTGAGGGGAGTGGGAGTTAGACCCATGGGAAGGGAACAGAAGCCAGGAAAAGCGATCTTGTTGGCACTTGGGTTCCTTTGGTCTGTGGCTGTGTGGAGGGAACCTTCTCTGTAGCTCATTCGTGTCCTTACTTGCTAGTGGGTTTCTTTGAAATTAGAGAAAAGAAGAAAAAGCAAAACAAGGAAAGAGAAAATAGAATTTAGGCATCTGTGAAGTTACTCGCCTCCCAGTGACAAAGATTTTTCTGAGCACTGACTGGATAAGACTTTGAAGCTGTTCAATTAATTACTGTTCAATTCAGGCTGCTGCAGCTCCCATCCTTTATCCTCCCAGCATCTCTGCCAGCTTTGGCCGGTGGAGGCAGCAGCAGCGTACCGCTGTCTGCACAAGGGGCTGTGTGAGCAGGCTGTTTCAGGCCGTGCCAGCTAAAGCAATGATGCCTGTGACAGATGAAGCAAGGCAGTGGGTTAGGGGCAGATGCGGAGTTGGTATTGAAGGTAGTAGAAATGGCATTCATGGAAGCACTTCATCTGCTTACATTAAGAAGCCCCACATGTATTCAGAGCCCTCACTTAGCTCTCTTGCTGTGGCTCAGCAGCCCTCATCACAAAAAGGCCATGAAATTATTGCCGCCAGGCACACTCCTGTCACCGCAGCACCTAGGCTTGTGCAGGGGACCCACACTCTGGAAAGTCACCTCAACGGTGCTGTGGATCCCTTCTGCACACCACTGATGATGCAGCCGAGGGTTGTGAGGGCAGAGACAGCCACTCTGGGAGGTGACTGATGGGCACGAGTGAGGACCAGGTGGTGAGTCTGGAATCCTGGAGGAGAAATTTGGCTTTCATGGAGGCACTGTTTAAAATATTGAAAATCTCAGGCACCCTTGGGTCTTGTGGTTATCAAATGCTGTTTGATTTTAAGGGGAATGGCATATTTCACATTCTCATACAATTTCAATTACCAAGAGCAATTTTTTTTAATGAAGTCTAACTGGGATAGCAACACTAACCCCCCCCCCCGGGGTGGGGTGGGGCAGAGAGAGTTGTCCACATTGACTGCCAGCCTTTGTGCCTGCACCCCTCATGTCTCATGCTTTTGAGAGGGGTGCCTCAGATACCGGCCTTTCATGGACCAATATCCAAGGTTTAGGGTTTGAACTGTAAGACAAGATTCCTAGGTTTTAAAGTCTTTTTGTTTGGTGAAAGTGTTTGAAGTACTTGTATGAAATATCTACTGTAAGTATGAATTGAAATTCCTGGGCCAGGTTTCTGTAAGATGTTCCAGGGACAGTGACTTGAAGTTCTCATTAGTGGCCGCCCAGTGGGGTCTTGGCTATTAAAAATGCTCTTCCTAACGCTAAGCCAATGTCTGGTTTTGGTGCACGTACCTTGTTCAGACCCCTTTGGCCGCCAGATATTTGAAGCCGGCCATATGTGAATGTGCCCTAAACCCCCCTTTCTCCTTGAAGCAACTTTTTATAGCCCTAAAATTTACTGGGTTTGCGGACACCACCCCCCCACCCCGTGAAATTCTAAATCTTATGCTCTTTTCCTTCCTGGTGCTCTTGTCTGCCCATGTCTTTTTTTTTTTTTTTTTCTTTTATGTGATTCCAGAATCTTTTTTTTTTTCTTTTTTGTCTTCAACGAATCTGCCTCCACTCACCCTCTGTCCACACAGCCTGGGCTTACTCCCCTGTACTGGTAGCCTGGTTCCCTTGCTAATTTATAACACTCCCAACCCTGAAATAGGCTGATACAATAAACACACAGACTGTGCCCATACTTGAAGCTGGGAAGGCAGCCCCCCCGCCCCGTTCTATCTGGAATAGCTTGCAGACGGGCAGGGGTGGGGGTACCATGGCACCAGCTCCTCTTGGGTGACTGGCCTCTGCTGGCTCGGTGCTGTCAACAGGTGACAGTCACCCTGCAGTGCAGAGTCTTGGCTTTAGGAGAACTAAGTCACTAGGCTGTTTATGGTGGCCTTTGGCTTGTGAACTAGCTAGACACTAACACTTGATAGATATCAGGGGGCCTTTGAACAAACAAACTTGTGAAATTTTAAAAAACAAACACCAATAAAAATTGATCAAATTTCATAAATGGACAAAAAAGGGTTAAATTGTAAAGCAAAAATGAGGCTGCTAAATCACTTGATTTGACAGAATTGATTTTTTTTAGGGAAAACATTTGCTTTGTTTATCTAATGTATTTGCTGTGGAGCCAGATTGGTGTGGGGGGGGTTGTGTGTGTGCAAAAGCTTAGCTAATACCACATTCCACAGTAATAAACAAATAATATAGTATATCTGTATCTGTGGTATTAAAATTTCATGGAGAGTAGTAGAAATGACTAGGGGAAAAAAGGCTCAGAAAAACTCTTGGCAAGGAGTAATAATGGGGGGAAAAAAAAGGGTGAAAGAACTAGTTTATCCTAACTAGCTACAGCCTCTAAGCCATTTTTCCAGGTCTAGCCTACCAGGAAACTTAAACCTGTTACCAAATAATATGTTCAACATGTGTGGTCCCTTAAGCAGTATTCTGTCAGCCTGCTGTCCCCACAGAGCTACGCCTCCCTGCTGCTGTAGCACTCCTGCTACAGCAACATGTCTCCTCAGGCTCTGGAGAGACTGTTTCCAGACACTAAAGTCAGGGAGAGAAGGGGAGGAGAGACAGACAAGCGCGCGTGCGCACGCACATGCACACACACACAGAATGTTGAAGGCTTCTAGGTATGGCCAAGGGTTTTTTTTGTCTTTTTTTGTCATTTTAGGGACTGCACAATGGAATTTCACATTCTCTACCCTGGCTCTTTAAACCATTTTTTTTTTTTTTTTTTTTTTTTTTGCCACCAATTGAAAATCAGTTCTGATACATCCGACGCTAGACCAAGACAGATTCCTTTATAGACAGTACCTTTTATTTGATCAATTTTTTTTTTTTTGGTACCAGGGATCAAACTTGGGTCCTTGCACTTGCACAGCAGGTGGCAAAACCACTGAGCCAAACCCCCGGCCCATATTTGATCAATTTTTGAAACATTGAGTTCTATTAGTACTGAAATAATTCAGAGTCAAATTTAAACTAATCAACTGGCACACATTTGGAGCTCAAAGGGATAATAAATAGGAACCTTTCATTTAGCTTGTTCGTTTTGAGAAGAAACTGAGGCAGAAGAGGTGCTGAGTAAGACACAGGCTCTTGACAAGGACCAAGGCTAGAAGCAGCCTGGGCTTAGCCTATGCCTTTGGCCTTAGATTCAGAAGCCCACGTTTGGAACATGGGGACTTAAGAAATAAAATCATTAATGTCAAAACCTCACAGCAACAGGAGAAATTCCATCATTCATTCTAGAACATGGGTATTAAATATGTAATTTGAGAATCTCATGCCCCTTGCTGGACAGTATTTTAGAGAAGGGCAGTATTTGAGCTGGCATATGACATCACTGGCCTCTGGAAAAGTAATTTGATTTTAGTGATTTGTTTTTTGTGACAGGTCACCTTCCTGCTAAAATGCTTTCCCCACACCATGGTTTCTGCTCAGTTTCCTCTCAACAGCATCCCTCTTCTTCAAGGCAGATAAATTAAAATACAGATAAATTAAGTAAAATCCATGCAGTTTAAAAAAAAAAAAGAAAGAAAAAAACCACATTCTTACCAAATGAAGTTTCAGCTTTCTTCATTAAGTCTTCAATCTCAGCTGCTAATATGAGACAAAAAGGCTCTGAGCAGTGGGGGAGGGGGAGTCTCTAGTACATTAAGAAATATCTCAAAACATTTGTAAACTTTAAAATCTCCAATTCCGTAAACACAGCTTAAACATTTTCTTTGCAAACTTTTAGAAGTAAACCTACATCAGGTTTCTGACATCAAATATTTGAACATTACTACTTAATTTCCAAATCAAACATTCCAATTATAAGAGCACCTTTGTCGCCCCTTAAACCGGGTTTCCATTAAGCAAATGATTAA